AATTTTAACTTCAAACAATAAACTTTTGTTTTCTTCTTAAACAAAATTTTATATAATTAAAACATCACATAAAAGTACTATAAACCCCAATTTACTATTAAGAATATATTTTTAATTTTTTTTAACAAAAAAAAAAACTGTTTCACTCTTCAAATAAAAATTATTTAGGGGACAAACTTCATATAAGAAAAGTTTGACGACCATTTTAGCATTTAAATTACTACTATCATAAACATATTACCGGCATCAGCAAGGGAGATTATTTCCCATTACCCAATTGAATGTTTGAAGCCCTAATTTATCAGTGAAATCAGTGGAGCAAAAGGGGATTTTTGTTTTTAAGTTTTTTAGTTTCAAAAGCTAAGTAGAGAAACCCCATTTGGTTGAAATTCAAGAATCTGCAGTTGAAAGGTAATTTATTTTTTGATGTTTTATAAGCATAGTAGAGAAACCCCATTTGGTTAAAAATCAAGAATTTGCAGCTAAAAGGTAGGAAAAAAAAAGTTCCTCTTGTTCTATTTTCTGTTCACAAATGAGCTTGCTGCAATAATATGTTGTTGAAGTGTTGAATATGGAAACAGAAAGGGTGAATCTTTGTACTCAAAACTAGCTCTTTTTTCTCCTTTGAGTTTTAGTTAGAATGATTCTGAACTTTGCTTCAAAGTTTGGATTTTATTTATTTTTATTTGCTGGGGTTTCTGTCTTGACCCTTTTGTATTTGATGGAATTCTTTGCTGATTTCATGTTTTACAAACAAAAATGCTGACTTTTCCATGAAATTTGTCGAGGGGTAAACATATTCTTTGAAAATGTGGCAGAGCCAGGATTTTCACTAAGGGGTTCAAAATATGAATAAGTAAACAATGGAAGAAGCCGAATAGTGTAAGTTTCCGTCCCCCTCGGCCCTATCTGGCTCCGCCCCTGCTTTGAACCCATTTTGGAAATTTCTGATTGTTAAAGTTTGGAACTTTATTGTTTACTTGAGGTATGGTTTTGTTAATCCTTTTGCATTTCATAAAGTTGTATGGTTTAATGTGGTTGCCTTCTTTGCTTATTTCATGTTTCACAGCAAAAAGCTAATAATATCATGAAAAGTGTATTAAGTTATCTTCGAACCCAATTTGATAATTTCTGATTCTTTGTTGAAGTTTGAAACTTTTTGGTTTGTTGACACTATCATCATATGTTTTTATTTTATGTTTTGTAAAGATAGCAGAGATTGGAGACTATTCTGTTTGAGATAAACCTATGTAGGTGGTTTTCCTTTTTTGCTGACTCATATTTGGGTAATGCTTTTGTTCCTACAACCATTTTTTAAAATCATCTTGTTTTTTAGGTACTGGTTGTTGATTCTTATCCTGTATTTAGAATTTGGTTTTGTTCCAAGATCGTAAAATTTGAGATGCTTTTACTTACAAGGAAAACACTGCTTTTAATCATGTATTTGAAGATGCTTGGTTAATCCTCGTGCTATTGTGACCTTCCTATGGATTGTGATTTGAGTACATTCTGCCTTCATAAGAAACTTCGGTTAAATTCATTTTATTTCTTGGTCAGGTTTGTAGTTTTGAAGATTGTTACCTTTATTGGCTCTGTGGTCATGTACACTACTACATGATGGGAACTGAAGATAAGACACTGTTTTGTTTCTGTCATTGGGGTGGGAAGAATAAGGTGCTTCCAGATGGATCCACTTCGTATGTAGGAGGAATTACGGATCAGATTATTGTGAAGACAGGCATAAAGTACAATGATTTTGTGAATGCAGTTTTTGACCGATTAGGCATTGATCCTTCAGATAAGGTCCTGCAGTTTACAGTGAAGTTTGATAGGGCCCAATTGATACGCCTGAGAGACCAAGAAGGTGTCAATACTCTGTTACAATTTAATGATGGTTTTGCCCATGTTTATGCATCAAGTTCGGAGAAGGAGCCTAATTCTGAAGTTGCTCCTAATATGGCTACCACTAGGTAATAGCCGTCTTATAATGGTCCACAAGTTTTTATTATGCAAAGTTTTGTGAATACTTATAGTTTGATTATATATTTTATCACAGGATTTCAACCACTGAGGTTGAAGCGGTTTCTCTCGGAAGTGCTGAGGAAGAACAAGTGAGTGCTGATACTCCAATTCCTGCACCGTCAAACCAATGGATCACTGATGGAACTCCAGATGCTGCTGCCAACTGGAGTGAATTACTTGTTGGGGAAGGACAAGCTTTTGAAAATGCAGATGCTTTTAGGCTTGCAGTTTTCAAGTTCTCGATTGCGAATAGATTTCACTACAGAATTTTGCACAATAAACCTAGATATATTAGCATCCATTGTGCTGCTGATGGCTGCCCTTGGAAAGTAAGTGCTGGCATCGAGAAGAAATCTCAAAATGTATCCATTAGGAAATTTGTTGATTCTCATTCACATCCTCCTCTAGATTCATCGCAACTGAAACCTCGTATCAGGATGAAGTGGTTGGGGGGAATCATGCAAGAAGACATATTAGGCAGTCCTGATTGTTTGCCTCGTAAAGTGTGTGAGGATGCTGAGAAGAATTTGGCTATCAAATTGACCTACCGTCAGGCTTGGAGTGTGAAGCAGAGGATTAGGGAGGCAATCAATGAGAAGTCAGGTGAATCCTATAAACTGATTCCCTGGCTATGCAATCGCTTAATTGAGGCAATGCCCGGAACTATTGCTACATGGTCCTGCACCGAAGAAAACAGATTCAAGAGGCTCTTTGTGTCATATGACTGCTCAATACGTGGGTTCGATGTTGGATGCAGGCCTTTGATATTTGTTGATGTTTACAACTTGAATGGGCTGCACAACAGCTCCTTTATAGTTGCTTCTGCTTTGGATGCAGACAATGAGATGTATCCTCTATCTTATGGCATTCTCCTGTCTATGAACGAGGAAGATCTTCTGTGGTTTCTAGAAAAGCTAAAGCTCGTTGTGCAGAACCGCGAGGTCGTCGTAGTTTCTGGCACGAGTCTCCCTTTTCTCTCCAGCTTGGACAAAATGTTTGGTGATGAAAACCACAGTTTTTGTTTTCATTGCGTGAAAGAGAATTTTAATAAATTCATCGATGGTAATACTGCCTTTAAAGTGCAGGGTAGAGGTAAGGAGATTGCACTTAAGTACTTGAGTGACATTGCCTACGCACGAACACTAGATAGTTATAATGAAGCTCTAGGCAAGATCTGTTCTTTCCGCAGGGAATTGTATGATTGGGTGATAGCCAGCCAGCCAGAACGTTGGTCTAATGCCTTGTTCAGGAAACCTCGGTGGGATCATCTGAATTGTAAATCTACGGATTCTCTGAACTCTTTTATAGAGGAAGAGAAGTTTGTACATGTCCTAGAGTTGATGGAGGCTTATCATGAGAAGCTTTATATGTTATTACAGAGTAACAAGCTCAAGATTGAACAATGGAACCTTCCAATTGGTCCTCGGGTTGCTGAGAAGATTTTTGAAAACCAAAAGGCCGGTGATAGCCTAGCAGTGACGGTTCTATCAGATGTTGAGTTTAAATTACAGGAACTGCAGGGTAGAGAAGAAGTTGTAAACCTCAAACTCTGGACATGTACATGTTTAGAGTGGCAAATGACTGGCATTCCATGCAGCCATGCCTGCAACGCGATTACTATGACAAGTATGAACATCTATCAGTACGTTGCGGATTGGTACAAGAGGGAGACACAAGAACATATATATGCTGAAGTTATGGATGAACTCGCGAAATTTGACATACCACATCCAGATGACATCATTTCTTCAGCTTCCTCAGGTAATGACGTCGTTCTATGTCCACTTTCACCCCATATTAAAAGACCTCCTGGTCGTCCCCGGAAAGAACCCAAAGGACTTCAAGTTGAAACTGTAAAGAGACCCATACGTTGTTCCAAATGTGGCGGCGTTGGACATAACAAACGTACTAAATGTAGTTCTGTAGCACAGTAAATTATTGTTCAGGGTGTCAACTACTTTATCAGTGAACTATAAGACATATTTTGAGTGTTGGCAGTACTTTGGAGTTAGAATTTTGAGTCCACCTGTTTGAGCTCGGTCACATTGTCGATCCCAAGCCCGAGGTTGTAATGGGATGCTAGCCACAGTAAAACTAGTCAATGTATGATGAATGCTCACACTACAGAATATATTATCGAGATGTGCTTATAGAGGCATGTGTTTCCATGTTATTAGAAAATATAGAGAATTTCTAGTATTTTTTTAATCTTCTTTATTATGTATATTATTGACATGAGATGCGCTTAAATGGAGTGACATGTTCAGTGAAGATTCATATGGTCGATTTCAACTTCTTTATAATTGAGATAAATGAGTACAAATTACTTATCGAGTTCCATCTTTTTTTTCCAAATTTCAACACATTGAAATTATCTTGCGACTCATAATTAATCAATAATTTTTTCTATCATTCAAACATTTATCAATCATCCAAATAGATGAATACTTTCAATGTTTGTCTTGATAACCCCTTTTTTTCTTATTTTTGTTTTAAGGGTTGCTCTCCCAACTTCGTAGTATCGCTTATCACTTTGTTAATCGTGAAGAATAAGGATTTTACCTTTTTGAATTAACGAATCAAATTGTTGAACCATGATCACATTACAAAAAAAATAATCATAATCTCTATTTACAATCTTTTTTTTTGTTTAAAAAAACTTGATAAACATAATTGATCATAGACATTTTTTTCAAAATTACTATAAAAGTTGTTAAAAATGCGATGGAAATTAAATTCCATTATTCTCCAACAAAAGAAAAGATTATTCTTTTTTTCCCTTTTCTTGTGGGTCCCTTTTCTTGCTGACATAACACTCAAACAAACTACAAGTGACAGCTCACTTAAAAGCTACTTTTCACACAGACAAAACTACAAAAGTAGACACTAATTAATCTAACTAAAAATAATACTAAATATTAATTAAAATACAACTAAAAAATTAAATATTTAGCTAAAATCCCAAAAATCTTCAGAGTAAAGACACAAGATTTATCATATCAAAATCTACACAGATCTGTTCCATTTGTCTGCTTACTATTTTAATCCCCATTTTTCATTTCCTCTAACAAAACCAAAAAAACACTCTTTTTTCACAAACCCTCTTCAAGATCCAGTTTTTCTTCATAAAGATTGAATTTTTATTCAAGATCCAATCTTCTCTGCAAGTGAATTTGAGGGTTTTGAAGGTAATTAAAGTTAACCCTTTTCCCCTCTCAATCTCATTGTTATATCTGTATCTTTAGTCTTACATTCTTTATACAGTGCTTATCTACTTCAAGATCCAGTTTTTCATGTTGATTTTGTGTTTTTTAATAAAGGGTCAGTTTCAGATTAGAGGTGAGTAAGCTATTTTCTTGATTTTAGCTTAAAAATCTCATTTTTAGCTTAATCTTGATACTTTGATTTGGAGACTTTAGAGTTCAAGATACAATTTTTCTTGTTGTTTTTGTAGTTTTGAGTAAAGGGTCAGTTTCAGATGTGTTTTTTAGCTTAATCTTGGTAATCTTTTGTTAGAATTTAGAGTTTTTGTAGAAATGAAGGATTCAACAACAGATCCAATTGGGCAAAATTTGATAAAGGTTATAAGCAATGTGTGTTTCTCAGTTTTTGTGTTTTCTGTGCTTATAATTACTGTAATTGCTATTACATACCAACCCCCTGATCCATGGGAATCTTCTAGAGCCTTAACTAGGGTGTTTACCCAAATCGAAAACGCCACATTCAAAGTTGATAATTCTGTCTTAAAAACTGGTGAGGATGTTGCTAGTAGCCCTATTGAAGCTCCTGCTGGAGTTTTTACTTTAGTGCCGATTACTGAAGCTATTATCGAGAAATCTGAAGAGAATCTGTCGAATGAGACTTTGAAATCAGGATGTGAGGATGTGAATGTCGTGAATTGTTCGGATCCTCGGGTCTTGTTCACGATCGAGAGGTTTAATTTGAAGACCTTCAAATCCATTGCGTTTTTGGACTATCGAACGCCTGTTAACGGGTCGAAACCGAATGAATGTGATGTGGCGTGGAGGTTCCGAAACAAGAAAGAGAGATCTTGGAGAAAGTACAGGGATTTCCGGAGGTTTAAGATTGGTTTTACTGATGATTGTAGTTATAAAGTGGTACATGCAGGTCGCTGGCATTCAGGAGGTAATGCCCGTCGTCCGAGAATCCGAGTTAATTCCACTAGAACTAGTACAAGAGCCAAGATTGCTCCACCAGTTATAGATGAGGAGATCAATGATACCATTCCAATCATGGGATCGGATTCAGATTTCAAGAATGGGAGATACTTGTACTATTCTCGGGGTGGCGATTACTGTAAAGGAATGAACCAGTACATGTGGAGTTTTCTGTGTGCTTTAGGTGAGGCTCAGTACTTGAATCGCACATTCGTGATGGATTTAAGTATTTGTTTGGCATCTTCTCACACTAGTAGTCATAAGGATGAAGAAGGGAAAGACTTCAGGTTCTATTTTGATTTCGAACATTTGAAGGAGACCGCATACATTGTCGAGGAAGGAGACTTTCATAAAGATTGGAGGAAATGGAATAAGGCACATAAGAAGAAAATCTCTGTAAGAAAGGTTAAGGACTACAAAGTGTCCCCTGACCAACTGTTGAAGGATAAGAGCACAATTATATGGAGGCAATTTGATGCCCCTGAACCGGAGAACTATTGGTATCGAGTCTGTGAAGGGCCTTCTGCCAAATACATCCAGAGACCGTGGCACGCAGTGTGGAAATCAAAGCGACTGATGAATATAGTAACTGAGATCAGTGGAAGCATGGACTGGGATTTCGATGCTGTTCATGTTGTTCGTGGAGAGAAAGCACAGAATAAGGCGTTATGGCCCCATCTTGATGCTGATACATCCCCCGATTCCCTTGTCACGAAGCTTCAAGGAATTATCACACCTTGGAGGAATCTGTATGTTGCCACAAACGAGCCGTATTATAACTATTTTGATAAGCTTAGATCTCACTACAAGGTGCATTTGCTTGATGATTACAACTACTTGTGGAGTAATACAAGTGAGTGGTATAATGAAACAACACAACTGAATGGTGGCTCTCCAGTTGAATTTGATGGGTATATGAGAGTTGAAGTTGACACAGAGGTCCTTTATCGAGCAAAATCAAGGGTCGAGACATTTTACAACTTGACAAAAGATTGCAAGGATGGAATTAATACGTGCTAGACCACAAGGTGATAACCTTTAGTGCTCTGTATACGCCATTTACACTTGTTTCTGCTGTTTCTAAATTTGCTTAGTTGTTCTGTATTGGAGGTTTGAGCTATTTCACACTTGTCTCGTAACATATTTGTACAATATTCAGTACCATAATCTTCATTCGATTGAGATTCGTTGCGTCTATATCGTCTCCTTAAACTTTATCTTTCATTTTTTGAAGTTCTTCTCTCATTTTCTCCAAGGACGGGTATCGAAGCTCGAGTTCTCTACCATAATGTTCAAGAATTGGAACACTGAAATCTAACAAGTGCCATTTTTTCTTGAATTTGCTCATGTGCATATATTGATTCATAGCAGAAGTAACTTATCTACCTATTTGAATGAGGGTGTTGGCTCTCCAAAAATGTTGTCATACCCGTGTAAACTATGTTGTTCAGGCTCTTCAAAAATGTTGTCATGCTCGTGTTAGATCCCTTGGAAATGCACTACTTTAGGAGGATCCGACACGCGACCGGCGACATTTTTTGAAGAGTCTAGCAACATACATTTAAGTGTAATCAAGAACATAGGGGGTTAATTTCTCATATACCACACCTAAACCACACCTAAGGGTGTGACCTAGTGGTTAATGAAGTGGTTAAGAATCCTGAAGTCTCAGGTTCAAAAGTCAGCGGAGACAAAAAAACACTAGTTGATTCTTCTCATTTGTCCTAGCCTTGGTAGATAGAGTTATCTGGTATCTGTTGCTGGTCCGGACACCGTGATCATCAAAAAAAAATCTCATATACTCGCTCAACTAATAGTTATTATATTTCAGAAAGACTTTTTTTCTTGTTTTTGACTTTTCTCAACAAAGAAAGTGACTCTCTGAAATAATAACTGTTAGTCGACTGACCATATGAGAAATCAACTCAGAACAGAAGGTTGTTGAATCTCATTTCATTTCTAAACAAATCAAATGCTCTTTTTACCAAATTTACAACATCTCTCTTGCTACTCAAAACCAAACTATTTTTTTTTTCTTTTGTGTGCTCCTTTTTTCACTTGGAATTTTCATGTGAGTGGTAAAATTATGAAGTTTTTTTGTCAAACAATAGGATAATACAATCTTCACACTTGAGTACTATGACAAGATGAAGCCAGAAAATTATGAACTTCTTGTCACAGGTTCATCAGTGTTCCAACTTCTGCTTGGTGCTACTTGATTGTGTATTGGCACATATTCCTAGAAAAAAAAGAACAATATTAGATTTTGTACACTTTCTTGCTATTATAAGCCACAAGACTCATAACTAGGGGCGGAGCTAGAGTGGCAGAAGAGAATTCATCTAAATACTTTTTGGTCAAGAAATGGATAATTTTATGTATATATAGTCGATATTTAAAAATAGTTGCATTTTTGTTTTTTCTTCTCTTCCTTGAACACTTAGTGGGGATAAGGGGTCACCCTTTACCCTTTCTCCACTTGAATATAAGACTTTTGTTCGCGATAGGGTTTGAATTAATAACGTGCGTCTAATCCATACGTTACGCATTGCGCTCTTACTAGTTGAACCAAAGTCTAAGGGGACTTCTAGTTTTTTCTTTTATGATAACTGAGAATTCTCAAGAGCCAATTGACACATAGTTTGAAACTCAGTGAAGATAAGGGGTCAACCCTTTTATCTTTCTCCACTTGAATACAAGACTTTTGTTCGTGACAGAATTCAAACGCGTGACATATATTTAATCTGTACATCATACATTACGCTCTTACTATTTAACCAAGTACCTCCATTTTTTCCAAAAGCTCTTTGGGTGATGTAGCTGATATGACAATATTTCTTGCTGAAGGCTTAATAAATCCTTCTTCTACACCTTTGTCAAATAATCCAAGCAAGCAATCATAATATCCATCTATATTCAATAGTCCAACCTGTTTCATCATTGATCATGCCGGTAAAAATTTATTCGTACTCGATATTCATATTATGTCTCAATAAAAATAAAATAAGTGTAAATATGCTCAAAATACAGAGGTGAAAAAAAAATCGATCAATCGAGTATGTCTCAATCCTAAATGATCTTCCAAACATAAAGTGGTCGAGTTTCATTACAACAGATAAAAGATATAGCGGCAATAATAAATATGAATATTTATAACCAGCTAACATTCTATATAAATATCGTTATAGTCTTTAGCGATTCTGGATGCAATAACATTAACTTACCAATATAGCGCTCAATATTTTTGCTGCAATAAATATTACTGCCAAAAGAGAAATGTATTGTCACTAAATGTCTTTTCTTTTTTTTGTAATGTTATTTAAATCTTTAACTTTGTGGAATTGGATAATGTCAATATCATTGAATATTGGATGTTGGAATTAGTTATTTTAATTGCAATTTGATTATTATAATTCAAGAATCTTATATGCATGGTATTTCTTTATAATATTCTCAAATTGTGACATACTAACTACATCTATGACATAAAATTAAATAATTAGAAAATAGTTCTCAAAATCTTGGATTCACATTTAGTTTAGATTTATTTAATTTATTTTCTTATTGAGTGAGTTTATTAGGTGTGAAACATGACATAAGGCAGATTTAATAAATAAACCATATGTAAAATACTCGTATTATTCACTTTTTTATATTGTATATACACCGAATACAGATAAATATTTTTCTTTTATGGCGTGTGTAGACCTTTTATTTTTAATTTGAGTTAAGTTTTATTTGTACTAACTAATGTATATCTATATCACATTATTGTTAGATAAATAATTGAAAAGGGGAAAAAAAAATGCATAATATATGAGATCCCAAATCTTGGTTATATTATTTGATTTGATTTGAATTAATTAATTTTTCTTTTGCGTGACGTGGTGGTTCTCTTCTTTATTAAAAAAAACAAGAGAATATTCAAATAAAAAGTATATTCTAAAGTTTTATAGTGTTTAAGAATTATATATTTTTTTCATCTTCCCTCAATATATTTAATTAAAGCATTAGAAGTTGACTATTTATACGCAGACGACAGTGTAATGAGATGAATAAGATTTCCATGTTCTTAATTAGTAATTTTGAATTTGACTTATGAAAATGAAGAAATTAAACTAAAAATGGAGAAATTAAATTCCTGGTAGAAAATAATTTCTTTTAATCAAATGAACCTCATGTGACATAAATTCATATTAATCGAGCCAATAAATATCGAAAAATCAAAATTTATATATAAAAAATAAAAGAGAAACACCACCACTTGCCTGTAGGGACTAAAGAGACCCCTCAACGGCCATCATAATACCAACATTTTCTATCCTTTTTTTGTCCCATCAATCAAATGAAAGCTTTATATATTTATTATCAATAATAATATCTCTTTATTCATTAAAAAAATCTAATCAGAGGTTCAGATTTAGGCGATTGAGGATAGAGAAAATCGTCTACGAGACACTTCTCCTTTAATGAACCTTAATTATAACGCAATGTATGTGAATTCAGACTAATTGAGACATCATAAAAAGTAACAAACATCGAATGAAATTTTATATATATATATATATAAATATTCTTACTGGTTTTTCATGAATTCCAAGCTGTGACCATGTTATCACCTCAAGCAATTCTTCCATAGTTCCATACCCTCCTTTAATATCATCATCATTTTAACATGAAAAAAAAACCATATAATATATAAAATCAGACCCCTATATATATATATATGTAATGATTATCATCTATGACAACATTTTACGTATCGTAGCTGCTAAATTTTACATAAAATCAATTTTTTACGTTGTATTTTATCGCTCAACTATAACAATAATCCTCTTTAATTTTATAATAACATTATTTTCCACATCATGCCAATTTATATAAATTGTCATCTTCTCTAACAACATTTCACTATAAGTCAAGTTCTCCTTTCGAATCGACTTTTTCATGTCACATTTTACCTCTCTACAACAAACCACAACTCCATAACAACTTTTCACTATATATATAGCAACTAATTTTTCTTTGAAACCGATTTTTCATGAAATATATATTTTACCTCTTTAGAACACAGTCAATATCCTATTGCAGTAACATCATTTCAACATAACAATCAAATTTTATCTGCAACATATTTTTCATGTTATATTTTACTTCTCTATATAACAAACAATAACAACATATCAGTGTAATCAACATGTACACAGATCTTTCTACCTATAAAGGATAAAAATATTATTTTCGATAGACGCTCGACTAGTATCAAAAAATTAAAATTAGGGTTTTTAATAATTACCAGGAAGTGCAATAAAAGCATCAGCTCTACGAGCCATTTCAGCTTTTCTTTCATGCATATCTGAAACTATTAATACTTCTCCTACTGCATGGCCTGAAATCTGCTAAAATAACAATTTTATTATTTTATATAAAAAAAACATATATTATACAAAATTCATAATAATACCTCTACTGAAACAAGAGCTCTTGGAATTATTCTGTCCATTGAAAAAAAAAAAGAGAAAAAATTAATAAAAGTTAATCATATATATTATAGAATTTTGGTTCATAATTGTATTAATGCAAACAAAAACACACACATATATATCTAATTTTTTTAAAAATAGATTTTCACTTGTCTACACATCAATAAATCCTCCTTCAAGAAAAAACTAAAATTAATTTCATGCGATATTTACATCAATCTAATGAACACATGACATTCGTCTTAATCATATGTACTATGCGTCTCGAAAGAAATAAGTTTCTTGAAATTTTTCATCTCGAATTTCACTTCCGCACAAGAAATATAATGATCATGAGAAGTTGAAAAATTAATCCGATCCTTTCAATTTTTTATTGTGGAATCGATAAATTATACATCCTCATATATATATTCTCACTTCAATATTATCACCTAAGTAACTATAAGAAATTATAATTTGATGTAAACATCGATCGTGATGAGTTTTCTTATAAGTCTTTTCCTCCTCTCCTTTCCCTCCTATCTTTCCACAAGTTACAAATAAAAAAATATATAGAAAAAACACTACTAAAAATGTAATTTTCTTTTATGAATTTCTCGAGTCATGAAAAAATTGTTTTTTTTTAAAGTAATTATGAAATTCTCTTTAGAAGGTCATCGAAAATATAGTTTCTAACGAACTTCATGTCTTACCCAAGAACATTGCATCCACCATCATAAACAGCTTGAGAAACTAATCCCATAAGTCCAATACTTCCTCCTCCATAAACAAGATCAATTTTCCTCTCCACCTAATTAAAACAATAATTTAATGAATTATTATAATAAAAAAATATAATTTTTCAATAAAATATACAAAAAAATATTGAAACAAATATATCAAGAAAAATTAGAGGGAAAAAATTACCAATTCTCTTCCAAGATCAAGAGCAGCATCACTGAATATTTTTCTATATCCAGAATTACTTCCACAAAATACACAAATTTTCTTGAAATTACCCATATGAATATGAATAATACGATGTTTATAAAAAAAAAAATCTTCAAAGTACTTCAAAAAGAAACAACTAGAGATAGATTTTATTTGAGTACTCTGATAGAGTTTGATCACTTTAAGTGGTCAACCACATGATTAGATATATAAATAATAAGAAAATATATTAATTAAATAATTATTGAAAAAGTTATATTATTATGATAGGCTTGCATGACATGTAGGTAAGGTAAGGTCCATGGCCCATTTTTCTAATAGGATTACTTCATTACCATATATATTATTTATTTATATTTTTAAAATATTATGTATTTTATTAAATTTTCTATCATATGTTAAGGAAGATACACCTAGATATACATGTATGTTTCCCATCAGATATACTAAAATAGGGAGAAAGGCGAGCGAGATTTGTTATATGTAGCGAAGATACATGCAAATCACACTAGATACATGTATCTATTTATCTGGTGTAACTTGCATGTATCTGACCAGATACATAGGAGAGTGACAGCGAAATGGGGGAGCTAGGTGAGCGAGATTTGTTTTGTATCACAGATACACGCAAATCTACTTAGATACAGTGTTTCTAGAACAAATTACATCTAATCTTGACCTCATGTACCTCGAGATATATGTATATGGACGTAGTTGAACGTATATGAATGCACAAAAATCTGGTAAAATTTGTAATATTACAAATTAAACTAAAGTGTATCTAAATAATTAGCTCATAAACTAGTGAGATTTATGTAGGTTTCCTTCTTTTCGATTCAATCTCTGAAAAATAATTCTTATCATGAAATTTTAAATGTATGGTAAAATTCCAAGATATTAATTATTATGTTTTGTAGAAATTGCATCAACTGGTGTTCCTATTATTTTTTATATATATAAAATACCCACAATTACAAGGAGATATGAATTCCTCGTATAAAACAACATAACAATAATAATGTCCTAAAGTTTCACAGTGGAATATAGAAGTTTATGATAAACTATTTTTTTTTTAATTATAAGGACTGAAAGCTTCTATTTTGGATTTTACCTCTTCTTTATTGTTAATATTTATTTATTTATTTATTCTTATAAAGTCAAACAAAATTATCACTTTTATCCTTTTCAAACTCAACCTTTTTTTTTGTTTTTTTGGGTGGGTGCACCTTCTTGGAATTTTGGATCAAATTCATCTCCTCTATTTATTTATTTTTAGTTCTTTGAAATTAGTCTTATATTGTCCTTTAGAACTCTATTGAGGTGGCTATTGGCATTGTCTATATTCAATATAGCTTTTTTAAAATTAATTTTCTTCACTTTAATTTAATAAATCCAAGTTGAGAATAAGTTTGTCATTTACTTGTAAGAAAGTCAATGTACTCTTATTAAACTATACACTCTCATGTTTAATTAAAATTAAACATGTAATTAAAAACACCATATTTACTAAAAGTGTTTAATCAACTCCACAAGTAGGAAAGGCAATGTTGTTTTCAAGTATATTATTTAATTATTTTGACTAAAGTAGATATTTTATAATTTTCTATAGTCTCTATGTATAGGTGCTATTTTTAATTTATTTCTTTTAAGATATAAAATAGTAGAATGGTAGTGAATATTCATTGAGATTTAATTTGAGAATCCAATTGATACCAAGTGCTAACAACTATTGACTTTATTAAAAAAACATTTTTTTTAAAAAAAAAAGGAGTTACATCATCCACGACAAGTAAATGCAATTTGTAAATGTTAAGAAAATGTTTTGAATATGCATCGGAACGAATTCACTTTTATTATGGAGTGTTTTACCTTTAATTATAAAACAAAACTTTTCAAAAAATCGTTAAGACTCAAAGCAGATACTTAACACAAAATAGATAACATAATTTTTTTTGCATCATCCATGACAAATAAATGCAATTTATACATCAACTAGAAGTTGTATATGGTAGGGTTGTAAGTATTGCTCTAACTTTAATCAAAAGTCTCGAATTCAAGACCCGCATCATTTTATTTGCAATGTGTGGCTTTCCGAATGAATATAAATCAACGGAGCCTAAAGCACGTATTGAACATCGAAAGGGTAACAAAAATAGAGTCTATTATAATTTATACTATCAACGGGTATGATGAGATAGAAAAAAAGCCCTAATTATAACTTTAATTTAACCATAAAATATTTTGAGTTCGAGTCATGAAAATAGAATTATTTAGAACCAAGAATTATTTTTTATTTTGTAGAATTATTAGAGGTACCAATAACAGCAAATCATGTTTGCTTTTCACCATACAATTTGTTATATTATTATATAGATAAGAAATACTGATAATGAAGTTGGTTCCTAAAGGCATTATATACCTGTCATTGTTCCTATGTATTCACAAAACTCTCTTTCTATTTAATTTTTATAATAATCCTATATATTCACAACAAACAAAATAAGAAATTAGTGACCGACAATTCTATTTAATAACGAATTAGATAAAAAGATTTACCGTACTAATTATTAATTTTAGATAAAAAGATTTCAATATTTATGTCAAATCAATGAAAAGAAAATTCCCTTACTTTTTTTTCTCTTCTTAGGATAGGGGGTGGGGTCTTTCAATGTTTTTTTAATTTTTTGTTTTGTGATATTATATATATGGCTTTGCAAACAAATAATAAATCATTAGGGTTTAACCTTTGTTTGACTAATCCTTACTAATAATAATTAATAAAGGGCATATAAAATATCCCTTTTGTAATCACACACAATCAATTTCTATTATCTACTAGTATTATAGTATACCTAGCTACAAGAACATTTTCAAAATTCATATTTTTCAAATTTTAATTTTGACTCTAACGTAATTATTATGTGAATGATATTATATTTATATATATTTATTTGTTTTAGAGTTCGACTTATTTGGATTAGCTTCAAATAATTTTACGTTATTTTTTATCAAAGATGAGTCAATACCCAAAGCTCGAATTCACTAATTTCTAAGCCTGCCATCAAGGTTATGATGATACGAAGGGCCTATCATCCACTTCAACAACCACTAATTAAATCTTATATATCCCATATTTTTTTCTTCTAAAAGTTAAAATTAAAAAAAATATCCGTGCTTTATGTTAGTTGCAATTATAATCATGTTGCTTTTTTCTTTTGTTTGAGCAACTTATTATTATATCAAAAAGAAAAAAAATTGACATCCACACACAACCACCATTCACCAATATTGAAATGATGAGTATGACTATGATTCTTTCAAAATTTCTTGTGGAAAACACATGGACAAATTTGCTGCATTGTATATCGGAACGGATTCAAAATTTGAAGTTCACGTATTCTTGTAGCAATCTCAAGTTAATATCATAATAATAATTGAGGTATTGTTAATACTATACATAAAGTCATACAACATTTAACAAAATGACAATGGATGCATCTTGATCTTTTGATTTAGTTTTTTTTTTTTTTCTAGTACCGACACCAACGATAACAATATATTCAATATGATCCTACAAAGTGGAGTTTGAAGATGGTATCCCAATATCGACACTGCTTAATGAAAATTTTGTATACATCACTGTGTAACCAATCCTCTCGATCCGTCCCTAGTTGTATAATCATGCATTCTAGAAACAAAAAGGTGTCTGAAAAAGCTTAGATTAATTAGTTAAGTAATTTGGATTTGATCATGCATTTTAAAGATGTGTTACTTTACACTTCTAGTAGCAAGAACAAGTAAACCTAATACCAAATTGGTTAACAAAATAAACCTAATACCATATGAAAAATATTATATATAAGTTATAATTAATTTAATTAGATAAAAATAAGTCACTTGCGTTGTATAAGTTTCAATTAATTTATCTTATTTTGATTTGACATGTAGTTTAAGAAAATAAAAAAAAACTTTTAAATTTTGTGATCTTAAATTAATAAATTAAAAATATGTGAAATGTATGAAAACACCCTTCAATCTTGTGACCTTAACGTGTCGTGTGAAATATTAGAATTAAAAAATTACCAATTAGAAATGAGACACTTCATTAAATGGATTATTAAAAAAAAATTGAAACAGTAAATTGTAAAAACATGACTATTAATTATGTGCTTTTTGACCAAAACTATAATTATAGTGAATTAGTGATAATGACTGGATACTCGTGCAGCCACAGCCTTTCATAATTCTAATTAATCCCATTAATGCTGTGTATACCATAATTAATTAAGGCCCTATATGTGTCCCTCAAACATTGAGTTTCACTAAAAAATAAAACAAAAATCACTCGATGTCTGATATCTATAGTGGATCATTCTACTATTAAATGTTATCATTAGTCGTAACTCATAAGTACTTTTTCAACCTTAGTCAAAAATTTTGAGTTCGATGAGTTTTAAATAAAATCATTTTTAGTATGAATCGCTTTATCCCAAAATAAAATGTTTCAACATAAATTTAAATTAATTGAAAGTATCTTTTAATAGGAAAGTGTTACCCTCAAAATAAAGACTTTTTAACCCGAATCCAAATTAGTCGAATCCCAAAGCTGATACCGACCATCTATATGGAAACATAAAAATAGTCTAGCACATCCAGAAGCCCAATCATTTCCAAACAGGCCCAATCTTTTTATCTTTGCTGCAAATTATTCACAACAACAACAACATATCCAGTGAAATCCCATAAGTGGGGATCTGGGAGGATAGAATGTACGTAGACCTTACCATTACCTCGTGAATTTAGAGAGACTACTTCCGAAAGACACTCGACTCAAATGCAACAATTCAAAGGAGAAAGATGGGGACATTGCAATACATGGAGTAACATATCAAGGAACATTAGCTTAATACAACGAGTAGATCAATGGTTTTAGAGCCATTGTTTGAACACTTCTAAAGTTAGAGGTTCTTTAACCATTCTCTTCGTGATCACCGGATATTGATAGAAAAACACTCGCACCAAGAAAAGGTACCAAACCTAGGCTTAACGCCCCAACGAGCACAGTCAAAAGAGAAGCCTTTGGACAACTCGAAAGGAATCAGAGGAGAAATAAATCATTTCTTATCTTTAGATGTCTGTTATATGAAAGAAGTTTCCAATTACAACTAA